CTCCCTTTCCTCACCCTCTCCCCTTAAATGTCATTGATTTTTAGCCGCGAGCTCGTCGCCAAGACAATTTAGCAAGGGTAGAAAGGAACGTCTCCCTTTTATTTCCACCGCCTTCTTTCACAACTCTTTCCTTTCTTCCTCTATCGACACGCCTTCCTTCTCTCTTTGCTTACAAGATTAAACGTATCGTCCCTCTCTTTTCTTCTCTCCTACGCTCCGTCACGTATTAATCACGTGATAATTAATTTATACATACACGCGCCTCGTTTATTCTTCCTTTATTCTCTCCATAAACGGAGGAGAGAACGATAAAAATCTCCAATCTCCAGAGATATATTTTCCCAAAGTTAAAAATTGCTGGAATAACATTATCCCCCTTTCGACGCTTTCAAAAACACCCCTAACTTCGTTATCAATCCGAACAATATTCCCCCTATCTTCTCCTTCCCCTTGATCCGAAAGACAAATTTCTCCCGCGAAATGGAGCGGCTCGCTCGCGATTATTCCTACACCAGCCCCACCAAACGGTCCCCCCTCTATTTTTCACCAACTTCGACGTTCCCGTTTGTCTATCGGCCGAGTTTCACTCCTTATTGACATTCCTCCTCCCTTCCTGTCTTCTTCCTTCCTTCTCCCTCTCGGGGGAGCAATAAGAGTCGGCCGAGCGGGACATTTATTATACGCGGAGAAAAGATGGGCGAAGATACAAAGGCGGCGCGAAACAGGAGGGAACCCTCCTCCTCCTCCTCCTCCTCGGTGAAAAGCTCTCGCGGCGCCGCTAATGGCCTTGTTCTCGAAACAAGCCGCGCCGGTTGAGGATACGGTTTGCCAAGACAGAGGCTCTCTGGCACGCGTAGGAAAGGAGGAATATTTCGTCCTTGAACAATGGACCAAATCCGACTCGGCTGTTTTAACGCCGAGACCGATGATGGAATTCTCTCGAAAACTAATCGGGGCTCGATGTCGCTCGGGAGTAACAGGGATAAATGGATCCTGGCTTTATATATCGGAAGCCATTTAAAAATTCGAAGCTAGTATACGAATAATATATAACGTATTTTAGTTGGAAAAAAAAAAAAACCTTCGTTTAATCATCCGTTCGAGATAGGAAAACGCAGGAACAAGTGGAAATAACGGAAGTGTGGCGATTGGTGGCCTGACGTTCAAACGATGCCGCGGCTATGTGAAAAGAGGGGAGGGAAGGGGGCGTAATGACTGATCCCATTGCGCGATCGATAAGTAATTAAGAGAGGTCATTAAAGCTCGGAAGCTTAATGAAATAATGTCACACAGGGCAGAGCGATATTGGAATCGGAGGGGAAACGAAATAGCCCAACGTTCCAGTTAGTTAAAGGTTGGAAATATTACAAAAAAAATCTGGAAAACCTCGTTCCTTCTCCCTAATTTCGCTTCAAATCGAAGAGGGAGAGGAATATATATCCTCGGGATTTCGAATCGAAGAGTGTGGGAAGCGGAGTGTGCACCAGCTGCACGATGAAATATTCCATAGGGTCGCGTCATTCGAGGCGGCAAGGTCGCGTGGCGCGAGACCAACCGGAAGGTCAAGTGCCACTTTCCCGCTCCCTTGCGCTCCCCCTTCCTTCTGACCTTTCCTGATTTATTCTCCAAGGGGACGGTGAAAAACGACCGTTGCAACATTCAACAGTCCACCTAGTAACGCGAACCGACTCTCTACATAATTTACTCCCGAAACGAGGCAGCCGAGGTGTAACGGACGCCTTTCGACGATGATCGCGCTACGAGAGATGGATCGTCCCTTTCCCTTCGAAACCTTCTCGCCACCAATTTTTCTCGAAAACGAAAATTCCCTGAGAAATTAGAAAGAAGAAGAAGATTTGTTAAGCCTCCGTTGAAACTTGTTCGAGGATAGGATTTTATCTTCGAGTATTGTGAGTCTAACGGGTCTAACAGTTCCCTTAACGCTTTCGTCATCGCAAGAAACCACGACGATTGCTTTCTTTAACACTCAGTTTTCACGAAAAATAATGATATCGGGGAAGACTATAATAGAATACTGATCTGATCAGTTAGAATAGAATTAGAATCATTGGAGTAGCATAATAAATCTCGTAATACAACAATAGAGATCGATTCATTGCGGAATATTCAAAGTGATTCAAGATTTTGGACATGGATTTTTCACTTCACGGGAAGAAGCATCGACTGTATCGTAAAAGTACAACCGAGGGGTGTGGTGGATAAAAACCGAGGTGGAAAAATCGTCCTTCCTCCGCGTCTCGATCAATCAACGTTCCCCCTTTTTCCACCTGGCGGCCCTTTTACCCTAACCCCCGCCGCTCTCGGGGGTTTACGCGTTGAAAGCAACTTTTGCCTCGCGAAAACGCGACGGGAATGTCGATGAACGTCGCGCGTTACGCGACCCTCTCGTTGCGAACAACTCTCCTCACCGACCCCCCCCCCC